AGTATACAGAGTACACAAGTATACAAGATATACAGAGTACACAAGTATACAAGATATACAGAGTACACAAGTATACAAGATATACAGAGTACACAAGTATACAATATATACAGAGTACACAAGTATACAAGATATACAGAGTACTCAAGTATACAAGATATACAGAGTACACAAGTATACAAGATATACAGAGCACACAAGTATACAAGTATACAGAGTACACAAGTATACAAGTATACAGAGCACACAAGTATACAAGTATACAGAGTACACAAGTATACAAGTATACAGAGTACACAAGTATACAAGTATACAGAGCACACAAGTATACAAGATATACAGAGCACACAAGTATACAAGATATACAGAGTACACAAGTATACAAGATATACAGAGTACACAAGTATACAAGTATACAGAGTACACAAGTATACAAGTATACAGAGTACACAAGTATACAAGATATACAGAGAACACAAGTATACAAGTATACAGAGTACACAAGTATACAAGTATACAGAGTACACAAGTATACAAGTATACAGAGTACACAAGTATACAAGTATACAGAGTACACAAGTATACAATATATACAGAGTACACAAGTATACAAGATATACAGAGTACACAAGTATACAAGATATACAGAGCACACAAGTATACAAGTATACAGAGTACACAAGTATACAAGTATACAGAGTACACAAGTATACAAGATATACAGAGTACGCAAGTATACAAGATATACAGAGTACACAAGTATACAAGATATACAGAGCACACAAGTATACAAGTATACAGAGTACACAAGTATACAAGTATACAGAGTACACAAGTATACAAGTATACAGAGTACACAAGTATACAAGATATACAGAGTACACAAGTATACAAGTATACAGAGTACACAAGTATACAAGTATACAGAGTACACAAGTATACAAGTATACAGAGTACACAAGTATACAAGTATACAGAGTACACAAGTATACAAGTATACAGAGTACACAAGTATACAAGATATACAGAGTACACAAGTATACAAGTATACAGAGTACACAAGTATACAAGTATACAGAGTACACAAGTATACAAGATATACAGAGTACACAAGTATACAAGTATACAGAGTACACAAGTATACAAGTATACAGAGTACACAAGTATACAAGTATACAGAGTACACAAGTATACAAGTATACAGAGTACACAAGTATACAAGATATACAGAGTACACAAGTATACAAGTATACAGAGTACACAAGTATACAAGTATACAGAGTACACAAGTATACAAGATATACAGAGTACACAAGTATACAAGTATACAGAGTACACAAGTATACAAGATATACAGAGCACACAAGTATACAAGTATACAGAGTACACAAGTATACAAGTATACAGAGTACACAAGTATACAAGTATACAGAGTACACAAGTATACAAGTATACAGAGTACACAAGTATACAAGATATACAGAGCACACAAGTATACAAGTATACAGAGTACACAAGTATACAAGATATACAGAGCACACAAGTATACAAGTATACAGAGCACACAAGTATACAAGATATACAGAGTACACAAGTATACAAGATATACAGAGTACACAAGTATACAAGTATACAGAGCACACAAGTATACAAGATATACAGAGTACACAAGTATACAAGTATAAAGAGTACACAAGTATACAAGATATACAGAGTACACAAGTATACAAGATATACAGAGTACACAAGTATACAAGTATACAGAGTACACAAGTATACAAGATATACAGAGTACACAAGTATACAAGATATACAGAGTACACAAGTATACAAGATATACAGAGTACACAAGTATACAAGTATACAGAGTACACAAGTATACAAGTATACAGAGTACACAAGTATACAAGATATACAGAGTACACAAGTATACAAGTATACAGAGTACACAAGTATACAAGTATACAGAGTACACAAGTATACAAGATATACAGAGCACACAAGTATACAAAGCCTACACTCTGCCCACTCTACACTGGTGGTGAGACCGTATGGAAACATTACAACTACACCCCACGCCTGGCTACCGTGCATTCTAGCCTGGCACACGCTAACATCCAAGTTAAAAAAATATCAGAGCAGGTGAACCTACAGATGCCCCTCTCCCAGGAAGGAGCCGTTCAATTTACCAGACTAACCAGGAAAGACACGCTCAGGAAAAATCGAAGGGACATTCACACCTCCCTTGGGTGTTTTTGTTTCTGATGAACAACGAACATTAGTCAGCTGAGAAGCAATGGCAGTGTCACAGACACAGCAGCTGGGGTTCCCCCTCGGCCCCCGCCCGGCCCCCGGACCTGGCCATCGCACAGGGTGCTGGCCTGTGGGACCAGCCTGCTGGCACACACCCGGTCAGATAGTGGCCGCGTGCAGCACTGAGAAATGGGAGAGGAAAGTGAGCCAACACCCTGACACCCCACGTTTCAAAGGAGCCCCCAGGACAGTGAGCTCTGCCCAGCTGCGGAGAAGGGGCAGGCTGTGGCCAGAGGCCTTCTGAGGGTGTGCACGACACCTGGGCAGTGTTTTCCTTCCAGACAAAAGGTTTGGGGAAGCCAATTAGGGAGGGTGTGGTGCAGGTGGGACACCAACACTGCACCTGCTCCTAAGGTGGGTTCTCTGCCTCCTCCGGGCTCTCGGTCCCTCGGGTGGAGCCCCGCTGGCTCTCCTGCAGGGAGACTGTCCTCAGCCGGTGGGGCTCCACCCCCACCCGGCAAAGTCGGCCTTTGGAAATGTCCTGTGTGGACACTCCAGTGGCCAGATCGGGGATGTTCTGAAGTCAGGGGCCAACCCTCTACCCGCCGCTCCCTGAGCCCCTCCCCCGGCGAGGCTCCTCTCCTCACCCCTCCAGGCTCAGGAGACCCCAGAAAAGACCCGGCTGGGCTGCTGAGTCCCCTGAGAGAAACAGCAGCAGGCAGTCAGGAAGGGCTGGGCGTGGCGGAGTGGGCAGAGGGGGCAAGGTCTGGACCTGCGGGCCTCAGTCCAAGTGTCAGGAGAGCCCTGCACATCCACACCCCTCCCCAGGGGCCAGGGCCCAGGCACTCCGCAGCCACAGGGACAACCAGGCCCGCAGCCCACGAGCCCAGTAAGCGCTCTTCTGGCCCCGGTTCCTTCTCTGCATCCCACCCGCCATCTGGACTTTTGGTGTGTGTGGGGGAGTGTCCGTGCTCCAACCGTGACACTGTCCCCTCTCTGCTCCTCCTTCCTGAGTTGGGTGGAGCAGCAGGGCAGGCCTCCAAGCCCCCAAAGCAGCAATTACTCACTAGGCACCCCAAGTCTGGGGGAAGACATAACCAAAGGAGGGGAGCATGGGGGTGAGTGGTTCCCCTCCCCTTAGGGGACCCAAGGTTAGGGTACCCCTAGTGTGCCAGACCCACTGGAGCCCCAGGGGTCTCCTCTGGCTGTGCTCGGGTGGGCGATATGGGGTGGAGGGTTCCCAGGGTCGGGAGAATTTCCTGGCTGCTCCCCAAGGAGGCTCAGTGTGAGAAAAGACCCTCATTCCCTCCAAGGGAGCGGGGAGATGGGGGCTCCATCAAGCCCCTGAATGGGCAGAAACGCCTACCTATACGTCCAGGAATTTCCCCTCCCCCCACCTAGCAGGGAGCACCCACAGGCCCAGGAGTGGGGCACCGGCCTCCACAAAGTGCTTTAGGTGCCACTGGCCACTCCCCGAGGTTGTGAGGCACAGACAGGAATGGCGCGGGTTCCTGCCTTCCCGGAGGGTACCCCAGCCCCGAGGTCGGCGGCCAGGCTGGGTCCCGGGAACCACCTGCCCCTCGGGAATCTCGCCTCGGTGGCGGCCAGCGGCGCCCGCGATCTCAATTCTCGCCCCCGGGCAGCTGATCGCTACTCGGACCCGTCATTCTGCCAGCCTAAGGCCACGGCCACGTGCCCTGGCCAAACCCGGCCCCTGCCTCCAACGCCCATCCAGCCACAGCGGGGGTGTCTCCGGGTTCCTCCCGGGGAACCCCCCCCCCCCCCCCCCCCCCCGGCGCTGGAGTCCCAGCCACCCCGGGAGGCGCGCGGCTTCCCCAGGGACGCGAAGGGTTAAATCCAGGCGCGCGGACTCGGTGGGATTAGCCTCCTAAACGCATTTTCCAGTCCATTCCCGGCACTGAGCGCCCAGGCGAGTCCCGGCCTCCGCCCCCGTCCTCCCTGTCGGTGGGGCGCCGCTGGCCACCCCGGGGCGAGCTTCCGGTGAACTCGTCGGCTGCCCGCCCGCCCGCACTTCAAGGAAGGGCACCCCTGGGAAAGTGGGTCACGCGGCCACCTGGCCGGCACGAAGCCGAGGCGCCCCCCCCCCCCCGGGGAGATCCCCCCAAACTGGGAGCGGAACCCGGAGGGGAAGCGCAGCCCCGCCGTGGCCGGGAGAGGGGCCGCAGGTGGGGGGCGGTGTCGGTACCGGTGTCGGTGCCGCAGTCGCGGCTCCACGCGCTCGCCGTGGCGCGACGCGGTGCGGGAGGCGCCGGAGCGCCCGGCTCAGCCAGGCAAAGGGGCCCGACAAAGAGAGGCAGCCCCCCTGCCGCCCCCCAGACTGCGGCCCACCAGCGGGGGGACAGACAGACGGACGCCTCCTCCGCGGGGCTGGGTCTCGGTGCGGAGAGGCGATTACGGCGGCTATTTTGCATTTATGTAACAAGCAGTATCTCCAAACGGCCTCCCCAGCTGAGAGCCGGGTATTAATAAATAGGACGCGATTACATATTATTTTTGTGGAAAACTGGGCGGACTGAGCGCTCTCTAGCTGCACACATTTGCATCCCACCAGCGCCCTGCGGGGCAGGCTGCCCGGACTCCCGTCCACCCCGCCGCGCCCCCTCTGCCCTCCCCGTCCCTAAACCCTGACCCAACTTTCCTGGTTCCTTTCACTCCCTACAACCCAGACGCGCCCGCCATCCAGGCATTGAATGGGGAAAAATTAATAATAAAAAGGCAGCGCTCACCTGGGAGGAAGAAGGCGGCCAAGCCGAGAGCGAGTCCCCACCAGCGTCCAGCCTCGTCCGCAAGCCCTCGCGGAGCCATCGGGGCCCGGAGGTCCGGCGAGGAGAGCGCTCCTCGCCCCAGAAACCGGCCGGAAGACGAAGGTGATCAGGGCCAGCCGGCGCGCTCCGAGGATCCAGGTCCGCCGCGGCGGTGGCCGGGGGCGGGCGCGCGGGGAGCGCTCGGCGCGGCGCAATCCAGGCCTCGGCCGCCGGCAGCTCAGAGGCTCGGCAGATGCCCGCCGCCAGTAGCACCAGTCATGCCCCTCTCCTCGCTCTCCGCCCCGCGCCGGTCCCGCCCTCTCCTTCCACACAGAGCTCAGGAGAAGGGACCCACCCCCGGCGCGGCGCGGCTGCCCTGCTGCCCTGCTGCTCCGCTGCCCGGGTTCCCGGCCCGGCGCGCTCACGCCCTCCCGCTCGGCTCCAGCGTGCAGGCGTCCAGGGCCGGCGTCCTTAGGGCCTGTGGTGGCGGGGCGTGGGCCCAGGCGGCGGTGGGCGTGCGGGGGCTCAGGCCCAGGCGGTGGGCGCGCGGTGCGGCGGCCGGATCCCGGGCGGCTCGGGGGGGGGGGGGGGGGGGCGATCTGCGCGCCGACAGCCAGCCAGGTGCGCGCTCCGCCGGCCGCGATCCGCACAATGTGGCGCTGCCCGGGCGCCGAGGGAGCCGCGCGCCTCCTTTCGCTCTTTCTTTCCTCGCCGGCGCCGGCCTCTCCCCGCTCGGCCGTGATGTCAGGGGGGAGGGGTTAGCGTTAACCCTCCCGGCGCCGCGCCGATCTCCGCGCGGCTGCTCCCACCTTCCGGCTGCGGGCAGAGGCGGATCCCAGCGGGGGCCGGGGTCCCGCTCGGGCCCACTGGCTCGGGAGATGCCCCTTCCGCCGCCTGCAGCCCGGAGAGGGCGGGGGCCCCGCTCAGCCGCGGGAAAGGCGGGCAGTGACCCCTGGCGGCCGGCGCCGGGGAAGCGCTGTGCCGCGGGTCGGGTTAGCCGGGGCGGTGCGGGGTGGCGGCCGCGGAAAACTGGGTCTATTCCTGTCCGGGCGGAACGGGCTCCCCAGGCCCTCCGCTCCAAGCCTGGCCCCGTTTTACAGCTGGGGAGACAAAGGCCCCCGAAGGGTAAGGCGGCTTGCCCAGGGCGCAGGGCAGAGCGTGGCGGCTCTCTGGGACTGGAACCCAGGGCCAGAGCCCTGGCACCGCCCTGACGCCCAATGGAGAGGCCGCCTGGCGGGACCTGCTGGGAGCTGAGGGGAAGCGGGGGGGGGGGGGGGGGGGGGCGGGGGCAGGGGGCGGGGGGAGGGCAGTAGCGGGTGAGATGGGGCCACGGAGGTTTCTGGTCTTTTCCAATCCCCGCTCCCCCCAGGGGTTCTTTTTCTAAAAACCGAGCCCTCACTCCCCAGATAGAGCGTTGTGTGGAGCTCTGTTCCCTCTGCGGGCACCGTCGTTGTGAGCTTTGCGGGGACCCATCCCGCCAGTGTCGGGCAGACCCTCCTGCCTCGCTCACCACATCCGGGTGGGGTGGGCTTCCTGCCAAGGCCCCCAGCCCCAAGCCTACCCTCCTTCTCTCTGGACCTCCCATTCTCTCTTCCAGCAGGAAACAGACACACAGACAGGGTTCCCAGGAAGAGGAGTCTAGTTCTCCCCGGACGCTGGGCCAGAGGATGCGCCCTTTGTCCATTGCTGCCTTTGCCATGGGCAGGAGCGTGGGGAAGTGGCTGTGCCTCATACATGTACATTCTCCTCTTCCGGAGGAGACAGAGCAGGAGATGGGCAGGAGGGTGCCGCTGTCCCGCCCCCTCAGACCTGGCCTGGAGTGTCTGGGGTTCGGTCTGAAACCATCTATACTAATAAAAGGGTAATATGCTAATTAGACTGGACATCTCCCGGATGTCCTTCCGGACAAAGCCACGGTGGCAGGGGCCAAGGCAGAGGCGGTTAGGGGAGATCAGGCCGGTAGGGGGGAGCAGTTAGGGGCCAATCAGGCCAGCAGGGGGGAGCAGTTAGGGGGCAATCATGCTGGCAGACAGAGGCAGTTGGGGTGATCAGGTCGGCAGGCAGAGACGGTTAGGGGTGATCAGGCCGGCAGGGGAGCAGTTAGGGGCATCAGGCTGGCAGGCAGGTAAGCAGTTAGGAGCCAGCAGTCCCGGATTGTGAGGGGGATGTCCAACTGCCAGTTTAGACTCGATCTCTGACCGGCAGTTGGACATCCCCCAAAGGGTCCTGTATTGGAGAGGGTGCAGGTCGGGCTGAGGGACCCCCCCTCCCGTGCACGAATTTCGTGCACCAGGCCTCTAGTTTAAATATATTTTTATTAGAGGCCCGGTGTATGAAAATTCATGCACTGGAGGGGGTCCCTCAGCCCAGCCTGCACCCTCTCACAGTCTGGGAGCCCTCAGAGGCAGGAGGCGACCCAGCGATCAGGGGAAGGCAATGCCCCCATCACATCTCTGCTGCTGCCACTGCCAGCAGTGCAAGCCTCGGCCCGCCCTGGTTACCTGAGCCTCGGGTGGCCCTGGGTGCCTGGGCAGCCGCCATCCGAGGTTTTGCCTGCGCCTCCAGCTGGCCCTGTGCGGCTGGGCGACTGAAGGGACTAGGCTTCGCCATCTTGTGGCTGTGGGCGCCGCCATCTTTGAGGGCAGGGCAGTCAATTATCATATTCCCTCCTTATTGGCTGTGGGCACTGCCATCTTTGGGACAGTGTGAGGATCAATTAGCATATTCCCTCTTTATTAGATAAGATTGATTTCAGAGAGGAAGGGAGAGGGAGAGAGAGATAGAAACATCAATGATGAGAGAGAATCATGGGTCGGCTGCCTTCTACATGCCCCACACTGGGGATCGAGCCCACAACCCGGGCATGTGCCCTGACCAGGAATCGAACCGTGACTTCCTGGTTCATAGGTCCATGCTCAACACCTGAGCCATGCTGGCTGGGCTGGCTAGAGCCGTTTAGCTTGGCACTTGAGCACCTCCATTACCTGTATCCAATGCGACCCTACATTCTTGTTAGCAAGCACTTGCCAGGCTTGCACATGCAGAGACATGCCCTTGTCCTAAAGGCACTCGATGCCCTGGGGGCGGGGAAAGGCACACAGTGGTGTGTGTGCTTAGAGACGGGCACAGCATTTGCTGGGTCTCAGAAAACGTGCCCAGATCCGCAGGGAGGTGGGGGTCTCCACAGGGCTGAGTCAGTCACCCATCAGGCGGGCATGCCCTGCAGGGAGGCACTGAGGGGCTGGATTGAGGGCAGCTTGGTCAGCATGTAGAAGGTGCAAAGGCCAGCAAATGGTTGAGGCCTGAGTGAGGCCCCACGTGGTTGGCTGCAGCCTGAGCCTGACTTGGGCAAAGGAGAGGCCTGCAGAGCCATGAGTACCAGGCAGCCACTGGGAGGGTTACCCTGGGCAATGCCTAGTCAGGATCTGTGCCCAGCCTGGCAGCTGGCACCTCCCCATGGCTCTCCATGGACTCCACAGGCCAGAGCTGCGTTGTGTTCGTTGCTGTGGTCTCGGACTCTGCCTGGCGTGTTGTAGGAGTAAATGGATGGATGTGAGGGCACATCCAGATGCACCCATGTCTGTTCACTTCCTGCTCATGTTCTCACCTCTCCCTGTCGGTGAGGCTTCTGTGATCTTCTGCTCTTAAATGGGTGTCCAGAGCGGGTGTGTGTGGGCATTGGCATGACTGCTGGGTGGGGTGGGAAGAGGAGATGAAGGCAAGTACATGAGACAGCATGGTCACCCACACGTCATCTTTAAAAACAAGCCCCTAAAACATGCAAAGCACCAGCATGGGGGCCAGGTGTGTGTGTGTGTGTGTGTGTGTGTGGGCGTGCGGGTGTATGTGTATATGTGTGTGTATGTGAGTGTGTGTATGTGAGTGTGTGTGAGTGTGTATGCATGTGTGGATGCATGTGTGGATGTGTGTATGTGTGTGAGTGTATGTGCGTTTATGTGTATATGTGTGTGTGAGTGTATGTGTGTATATGCATGTGTGTCTGTATGTGTATGCATGTGTGTCTGTGTGTGTATGTGTGTGTGCATGTGTGTATGCATGTGTGGATGTGTGTCTGTGTGTATGTGTGTGTTTATGTGGGTGTATGTGTATATGTGTGTGTATATGCATGTGTGTATGTGTGCGCATGTGTGTGTATGCATGTCTGTGTGTATGTGTGCATGTGAATGTGTGTGTCTCTGTGTGTATGTGTATGTGTGCATGTAAGTGTGTGTGTGTATATGTGTGTCTGTGTGTGTGGTGGGTGTATGTGTGCATGTGAGTGTGTGTCTGTGTGTATGTGTGTGTGTGAGTGTGTATGTATGTGTGTCTGTGTGTGTATGTGTGTGTGTGAGTGTATGTGTGTATATGCATGTGTGTATGTGTGAGTGTGTATGTATGTGTCTGTGTGTGTGTCTCTGTGTGAGTGTGTGTGTCTGTGTGTCTGTGTATGTGTGCATGTGAGTGTGTGTGTGAGTGTGTATGTATGTGTGTCTGTGTGTGTGTGTCTGTGTCTGTGTGTATATGTGTGCATGTGAGTGTGTGTGTCTGTGTGTGTCTGTGTGTGTGAGTGTATGTGTGCATGTGAGTGTGTGTGTGTCTGTGTGTGTGTGAGTGTGTATGTATGTGTGTCTGTGTGTGTCTGTGTGTGTGAGTGTGTGTGAGTGTGTGTCTGTGTGTGTGAGTGTGTGTATGTGTGTGTCTGTGTGTGTGTGGTGGGTTTACTCAGAGAGTAAATAGAGGTCTATTGGGCACCTACTAGCGAGGTGCTGAGGGAACAAGAGTGAGCTACAGCTAAGACCCCCCTCAAATAACCGGATTATCATTGGGTGGAAGGCCCCTGCCAAAGGCAGCCACCGCCTCTGGCCTCCTCAGGGGAGTGAGCATCTCTCCCGGAGATCAGGGAAGGCTTGTGGACGCGGAGGTCAGGGAAGGCTTGTGGACGCGGAGATCAGGGAAGGCTTGTGGACGCGGAGGTCAGGGAAGGCTTGTGGACGCGGAGATCAGGGAAGGCTTGTGGACGCGGAGGTCAGGGAAGGCTTGTGGACGCGGAGGTCAGGGAAGGCTTGTGGACGCGGAGGTCAGGGAAGGCTTGTGGACGCGGAGGTCAGGGAAGGCTTGTGGACGCGGAGGTCAGGGAAGGCTTGTGGACGCGGAGGTCAGGGAAGGCTTGTGGACGCGGAGGTCAGGGAAGGCTTGTGGACGAGGTGACATTGGCGGGAGCCCTGAGGGTGAGTCAGATTGGAACGAGGGAGACCTAGGAGAGAATTTTGGCGAAAAGGACTGCACTCACTGGGAGCAGCTGGGCTGCGCTTTCGGATGAACCTGGCGGTAGCGGAGCAGGGACAGGCAGGTGAGGGCTGGCGGTAGGAGGAGGAAGCAGAGGAGAGATGTCCTGCAAGTCCAGGGAGGAGGAATCGAATGGAGGAGGAAGCTGCCCACAGGGCCTGACGCTGCAGAAAGCAGGTGGGGATCGAGTGGGTCTTTGGAAACAGTGACAGGAACACTCGTGACC